AGAAAGAAAGAAAGAAAGAAAGAAAGAAAGAAAGAAAGAAAGAAAGACCTTCTTCTCTGGGGTCAGTACCCAGCAATGAAGACAAGGGTTCAAGAAAGAAGGCAAACAAAGAACGAGTCAAGTTCAGTATGGACCCTTGGAGGGCACACATGTGCACACATACACACGTACACACACACACACACACACACACACACACACACACACACCTCCCTCTGCCTCAGTGCTCCCTCCATCTTTGAAGACCCACAAGCCTCTGCCAGGGCGGCACACAGATCTCTCCATTTGAGTGTAGCTGTAGACTTCAGCCTCTTAGGGACCCAAAGCCTGAAAACCCAAGTGACTGCTTTTCAACCCTTATGCCTCCAACCATGACTCGTGTTGAAATCTGGGCACCTTTGGGACTTTGTTTAGGTGTGACTAACCTGCCTTGTTAGGGAAGAGAGGCCTGACAGAAATACCTTGGAACATCACCAGACACTTGATTTCCAGCCTCCCTACTCCTGGTCCCAAGGATTAACTGATCAGCTCTGGAACCTATGTAGCACCTTCCACTACCCTTCCTCAGCTTTGTCCACCCCACCCCCCACTTTCCGTAAGCAGTGATGTGAGTTATTGAAGACATGTTGGTATAGACTTTAAACACAGGCTTAAAAGAAAGAGAAGCACTCAGAAAGAAAGACACCCATGAGCATGTTGTGGGCTTCTCAAGGAAGTCACATTTGCGGGGAGGGGGGCAGCATAGTGTTTGCTATGTAGCACAGGATGACTTCAAACTTACAGCAATCCTCTTGCCTCCACCTCTGGAGCTCTGGGGTTACAGGCACACACCACCTTCAGTTTCTAATGGTGGACTTCTAAAATACTTGTTTTGTAATGTAAGCATCCCTGTGCATAAGGGTATAAGACTGCGAAAGGTCAGCAGGTTGAATTTGTATTTCCAAAGGCATTTGACTGTAGCAACTTTTATTTATCTATTTGCTTATGTTTACACCAGCTGAGAACTTGAAAGGAACCTGAGAACTTGAAAGGAAATGGTTATCTCTGAGATCCTTTAACTGCCCACGCACCTGTGAGAGGGCAGGTACCCCCCCTTCCCAAGCAGAGCTGAGTCAGCCAGTCTGACTCTTCTCCTCAAGAGAAACCCAGACCCGACCCCTCAGCCTCCTCTCCCAAGGAGACCCAGCAACAACTGGGATGACTCATGATCACAGACACTGAGAGGAGTCGAAGACTTCTCAACCTGTCAGGCACTGGCTGTCTGCCAGGCTCCAGGCTGGCTTTCACTGAGGCTGCATAAACTGTGTGGCCTGAGCCTTCCGCCTTAAAGACCAGCTCTAGCTCAGAGTACTGCAGGGGTCTTACATCGCTGAGCAAGACTGGGGTCTGATCAGAGCATGGAGAAGAACCACCATCAACCTGTGTTCTCTCTCTCTCCCCTTAGCCTTGCTGCTTCCAAGGAGGCCGAAGCTGCCCGCTCTGCACCCAAGCCTATGTCACCCTCGGACTTCCTAGATAAGCTCATGGGGAGGACTTCTGGGTATGATGCCAGGATCAGGCCCAACTTTAAAGGTAGGAAAACGTTCCTTTCAGAATCACGGGAAAAGTTCTCCCATGATACACACATGCTGCTGTGACACCTCCTCCCCACCCCACCCCACCCCCGCCCGCACTTCCTTCTCCACCCAAGGTAGACATGGCTAATCGATGCAATCTCTTTTCCCAACAAGTTCAGACAGATCCTCAGAGAATTCAGCTCAATAGCACCTCTGGCTTCTGGGAGTCAGTAAGTAAACGAAGGTCTATTTTACTGTGTCTAGTGTCACAGACGGTAAAACAAGGAAAGTGGGTCAAGTTTCGGCTGAAGCACGGGCTTCCTCTGTGAGCTGGGTCAAGCCCCTCCCTTCATCTGGGCCTCACATTTCACATTTCTGCATGGTAATCCTGGCTATGTGTGCAGTCATTAGCATGACTCTTGGGGGTTTAGGTTTCCACTAGGAATCCTGAGAAGAAGACACGGGTGAGGAGCAGGCCCATCTAGGCCTTGACCCAAGGAGCTCCCCTTCTGTTTGTTCTAGATGAGGCCCTCCTAGTCAAACGCACCTGCAGAAGACTTCCACAGAATTCCAGACAATTCTGCAGTGTCCTCATGTAAATGAGACTCACCCGCCCTTCTCCTCTTTGTTCGGGCTGGGATGGAAGTCCATGGCATGGGGTTGCCCACATTCAGGATGGGTCTTCCCAGCCAAAGGTCAGACACCCCAGGTGGAGACTGTGGGGGAAAAGCCACAGTCTCCTGTGAATGAAGAGGGCTCCCCTTACCCCCAGCCTGTAGGTCTCCTGTAGGAGTGAGGGCCCCATGTGGTCAGATGAGTCAATAGTCCAAGAAGACCCAAACGGAACCCTACGAGAAATTCTTAATTCCTGGATCATGTAAATTCAAACAAAACATGTTCAGGGTTCATTGCTGCCAAATGCTGGTCCAGGCAGTTGGACAAAGTTCTCTGCATCCATGGTTCCACTGGGACCTTAGTACCAATAACAAGAGGAGATCGGGGCTCTGTGTGCTCTGGTGCCTTTGAATGCTGTGTCTTGAGCGACTTGAATCTTGCAGGTGTGGCTTTAAGAACCTCTTGAGACCCTGTGCACCCAGATCTTCCACACAGATCGAACCTACAGGGTTCTGATCCCAAGAACCAACAGCCATAGGATCAGTCTTCATTCCAGGTTGTTCTCCTCATCACTCCTGTGGCTCAGATTTGACAGCTGGGAGCAGCTATCTAACGCCTGCCTACATTGCCTCCACATGCCCCCATTCCATTCGCCACGTTCTCTGACTGCTTTGCCCACAGTTTCTGCAGACAGAAAGTGACCTGGGAGAGAGATGGCTGGGGTGTTGTACGCAGGCCCACCTTCCAGCCTTGTTTCCCCATCCGCTCCTTCACTGGTCCGCAACTGCCCTTCCATCATCATTAGCACAGCCTTGTTTCTTGGGGTTTCTGGTGCTGTGATTAAAAACTAGAAGCAAAAAACCTCTTGGGGGAAGAGAAATTTGGTTTAGCTTATACTTGCACCTCGCAGTCCATCACTGAGAGCAGTCGGGCAGGAACTCCAAGATGGAACCTGGAGACAGAAACTGATGCAGAGGCCGTGGAGAAGCGCTTCTTACTGGCTTGCTCAGTTTGCTTTCTTATACACCCCAAGACTACCTTCCAAAGGGTGGCATCATTCACAGTGGGCTGGGCCTACCTACACCAATGACACCTTGGTGCTCCTAGGGCCAGGACACTTGGTAGTACAGCTGGCTGAAGTACTTCCCCAAATTAAAATCTCAAAAGTCTGGAGGGGCAACAGGCAGATACACTGCAAGGGTGGAACAAGATGAAGATGAGAAAAAGATAGAAAACTTGGAGGCTGAAGAGACAGTTCCGTGAGTTAAAAGTACCCACAGTTCAGATCTCTGACACAGATGTAAAAACCAGGCATGGCCACACATGACTGTAACACTAATACAGACACAGGCGGATCGCTGGCCTCCAAGCACCCAGCTGATGAGATCTGGGTTCCACGAGAGACCCTGTCTCCAAAGACAAGGTTTAGAGCAACAGTCAGAGACACCCAACCTCCTCCTTCCCCTTCTCTCCTCTCTTTGTCCAAATAAATAAGTAAGTAAAATATAGAAAATCTGAGTCCCTTGCAAGGTCCACTCCTGCCCAGGGCATCCAGGAAGGAATGAAAACTGCATCGTTAGTCAGGTCCTCCAAGACAGAACTGAAGTCTGAGGCTCTATGTCAAAAATTTCTGAAGCTGATACTAAATAACAGCTCCTGAGGTAAGCATTGGCTAAGCCAAACCCATTTCGGCAGGGAACAGTAGGGACCTTAGCCACCTGGCTGCACCAACTGCCCATAACTAACCGATTCTTTTTAGAAATTCAGTCCATGACGCCCCCTGGTGGACTCTTTCGGAACTTCACCATATCACGGTCCACGTTTTTCTTTTTATTTAGCGTCATACTGCTCCAAAGAGTTACCTCCAAGGTTCAAGGGCTATTCTTTATGCATGCCATCATACTTTACACACAGAAAGCCCTCAATAAGCTTGTGTAGCCCAACCAAACTCAAAGTCAAGATCCTTCTGCCTCAGCCTTCTGAATGCTGAGATTAGAGCATGTGCACCTCTGTGCCCCTCTGAAAATCTCACTTAGAATACTCGAGTCCCATATCTGCAGGACTACATAATCTCTTAGACGTCTTCCCACTCCCAAATGGCTCCCCCTTCAGCCTATGCCTGGCTAGAAGACAGGTCACCTCCCGTACAGCTCCCAGCCAGGAGCTAGGAGTCGGACTTTGCTCCTCCCCCTTAAGACGAAAGCAGTAAGGTAAGCCTACTATGCCAGGCCCTCTCCTTATCCTGCTTCAGACCCATAGAAGACTCCCCAAAGACCAGGAAAACTCCAGGATTCCTAAAATGACCATGCAGCTCGGACTCCAAAGGCTCCCTACACACGCGCTCACACGCACGCACGCAGGCACGCACACAGTTCGAAATCTCAACAGTTATCCCTCAGCAGCTTACCTGTACAACATGAGCAACCTGCTTCTGGCCAGCCTGAAGTCCGAGGTGGCCAAGAACTGCAGACGATTGGTCTGCGGAGCACAAAGTCAATTCATACTCTAATACAAAAGTGAGTAGCACTAAGACTACTCGTTAAACCTACATTCCCCTCCTACCTCTTCGCCCCTCCTCCCCGCGAGAGATTCCTTCCTGGACCTAAGCTCCTGACTTAGCATCCAAAGAGGGATGCAAGCAGAAGGACCAGGCCCTCCCAGCACTTCTGAGGGTTTACCTTAGCTAAGGCTCTGTGTGCTGCAGTGGCTTCCGGGATCAGGGGCATAGCCCAATGCAAACACATACACAAAAGCAAAATTAAACTTTAATATTTAATGAAATATATACATTATCCTGCTGCCGACAGCAACTGGATTGTAATTTTCTCAAGATAATTTAATTTCGGATTTATATCCATGAGCCACGCCTTCCCACGGGGTCCTTTGGGCTGGTGCCCTCTCACACTCATGCATCAGCATCTCATTGATATGGAAGTCACAGTGCCGGATGCACGCAGCCCTGTGCGCATCACCTCGAGGCATGAGCGGTAACTCTTTGGGGCAGCTAAATGATACGAGGTTAAATCAAAAGAAAAAACTGAATGAGGGGAATAGGCGCCTGTTTATGTGACCCTAACAAAGCAGTGGTTCTCACCCAGCACAGGCAAACAATGCTTTTAATACGCACCGTTAGCCAGTGGCGAGGGCACTGGGTTCCTTCCGAGTAACCCCCAAAGCTAACTATACACGCGGATCACCCAGGTGGCTTGTTAGACAATCGGCCTTGTGCTGAGAGTCACTGCTAAGGGCTGAGCCAAGGGCCCTGCGATTTTTGCTCTGTTTTGGTTTGGTTTTGATATCTTGAGGCAGAAGACTCACTCTGGAGCCCATGCTGACCTTGGTCTTCCGGCCTTCCTACATCAGCCTCTTGGGTGTTAAGACTACAGGCGTGGGTCACCACAAGTCACAGGCTCTGCGATTGAAATTTTGCAGATGGCCTCAGCCGCACACAAGTCTGGAAACCAATTGATGAAGGGATGGAAAGTATCCCAGCCCCACTAGTCCACGATCCAGACTATAGGCTAGCTTCCCTGAGAGGGTGCCAAACCGTTAGCGCTAAGACAGGCCACCCAGCTTCCCTCACCAGTTTCTGCATCGTTCAGGCCGTCCTCTGACCCTTTCCTTACCACCCCCCTACCCTTTAACTGTCTGTCCTTCACATACGACATTCTCGGAAGCCTCCCCCAACCCTACCTTTTCTTCTTATGAATTGGTTCGTCTGAAAAGGAAATGAAAATGTCCCAGGAGAGCAGAGGCTGACTGACTTTCTAGAAGTGGGGTGGGGGGCAGCTCAGTGGAGTTCTTGCCTAGCATAGGCTAGATTCTGAGTTCGATCCTCAGCACTGTGTATCAGGGAAAAGGAGAAGGAGAAGAGAGGCCCTTTGATGAGAAATACTTCACCCACCCACTGCCTTACTTTAACTCCCTTGTATCCCCAAAAGTTCTTGACAGTCCCTGAGCCCTCGAAGGTGGATATTTGAGATAGAGATTTCCTTAATATTTCTCTAGATCAGCTTTGAATAAATTTGCTTTCGAAAAAGAAGGAAAAGAAGGAGGAGGAGGAGGAGGATAATGATGGTAACTAATAATAATAATAACAATAACAATAATGCCAAGCCTTCCTTCCAAACTGTTGCGGGGGGACTGAGATTCAGAAAATGGAAGACTCTGTCCTGTGCCTCAAGAGCAGGGGAGGCTGGGTATACCCCAGAGGTTGACCTTCACTGCCTTGAGGGGTAATCTGGATTCTCACCCCAAGAGAAAACTTCCTCCTAGTCATCAAGCCTACCGAGAGAAAGAGAATCTTAGCTAAGTTGTGTGCAAGCTGTGGGGCACCTTTTGAAGACAGACATGATGGATTGGGTACCAGAGAACATAAAGCTATTATTACCCTCTTCTTTCCACACTCAGAAAGCTTCGGTTCAAGTCCTGGCTCCACTGCCTTCTACCTAGTGAGCCCAGACGAGGGCCTAAAACCCCCTGTGCTCCTTTGACAAGTGAGGACATTTATGCCCTTCCTGCCTCAGCACCTCCTGGGATCAACAAGAGATAATCCCTGGAGGCCTTCACAAGGTCTGTGACCTATCCAAGGCCTAAGCACCTTCAAGGTCAGACCAAGGTCAGCTCCTCTCGGAGGTCTTCCTGTCTTTGTCTTCAGACACTTTCTCAGCTGGAGTCTGCTCCTTTGAGCCCTCTTGATCATGGTCCTATGCCTTTCTCTAGCTATTTCATGCTTGCGTATATGGAAACCCCACGCTTAATCTTCTAGATTCTGCCAGGCATGATAGAACACACCTAGAAATCCCAGTACTCAGAAGGCTGAGGCAGAGATCACTGTGGTTCCCTACCAGCCTGGGCTACGGGACAAGACCTGTGCCATAAAGGGGGTGGAAAAAGCTGGGCAGATAACGAAACTGGTACTTGCCTTGCAAGCCAGAGGACCCGAGTGCACCCCCAGCACCCAGGTGAAAACCAGTCCCATCATTCTAGCTCTAGGAGGTAGACACAGGCGGGTCCTCAGAGCTTGCTGACCAGCTAGCCCGGCCAGCTGTGCTGGTTTGAACAGGAAATGTCCCCCACAGGCTTCGGCACAGTTGGTGGTGCTGTTTGGAGCGGTGTCGGAGGTTGAGTCTTGCTGGAGGAAGTGTGCACTGGGAGCGTGCAGCCTTGCCCTACTTCCAGCTCTCTCTCTCTCTCTCTCTCTCTTCTCTCTCCCCTCTCTCTGTTTCATACTTGAGGTGAAAGATGTAATCTCTTGGCTTTCTGTTCCTGTTGCCATGCTGCCATGTTTGCCCCGTGATGCCATGCCCCCCCCTGCCATGCTGAACTCTAACCCGACTGGAACCATGAGCCTAAATAAGCTCTTCCATTCCAAAGTTGCTTTTGACGTGATGTTTTATCAAAGCAACAGAAAAGTGGCAAAAGAAAAAAAAAGTGAGGTATCCTATCTCCAAAATCAAAGTGGGTGGTACCTAAGGAACAGCGACCAAAGTTGTCATCTGACCGCCTATGCACGGGCACACACACACACACACACACACACACACACACACACTGATTCTGGATTCTGCCCCTAGCTACATGACCCTGCTTCTTCCTCCCTCTCAACCTGCTTCCTGTGGTATAACTCTTAAGAATTAGAAAAATCGGAGCTGCAGCCCCAGCTCCATTATTCTCTGGCAGTGTGGCCATCAATGAATAATTTGGCATCACTGACCCTCAGTTTCCTACTCTGCCCAGAGCGGGTGACAACCAGCCTTCTTACGGAGCTGTTGGGAGGGCATGGTGAGATCATTGCAGTTAAGATCTCACTGAAGCAGCTCAGGAGGTGGTAACTGCTGCCATTCACAGTGAGACATGAAGGGTCCCAGTCTCAGCCAGGAAGAGCCATCCTCCCAGAAACAAGTACCAAGGCAGTGGCATTCCTTCCCTTCCCTTCTTTTCTGAACATGGCAAAGCTAAAAAAAAATAAAATAAAATTGTCCACTAAGTAATGGGGGGTTTTTTTAAATTGATTTTTATTGAGCTCTACATTTTTCTCTGCTCCCCTCCCTGCCTCTCCCCTCCCCTTTAACCCTCTCCCAAGGTCCCCATGCCCCCAATTTACTCAGAAGATCTTGTTTTTTTCTACTTCCCGTCCACAAAGTATTTAACAAAGGCTTGTGGACTGTCCGTCAGGCTCCCTCCAGATCCCTCACCTGCTAATTCCCATCATTGCCCCTTCATTCTCAGTTCACAAGTTCAAGGCAAAGAACTTGCTGTTCCTTGCGATTCCTGAGACGGCCTCCAAATGTTGGAGCCATAAATATATCTCAGACACAAATTAGAAGGCACCGATGGGGCCTGGGGAAAGGATTTCAACCATATGGCAGGATGATGAATCACCCTTTGTTAATGAATGTACAGCTTGGCTCAGCCTCCTGTGAGGTGTACCTGCCCCTTACCTGGAAGCTGGGGAGTCTAGTCTGGCAGAGATGCTAAATGCCAGCTGGGGAGCCCAGGCACTTAGGGGTGGGGTGGATAACAAGCAGGGGGCTCCTTGGCACTGTGGGGAGGTCTACCCTTGAAGCCAGTTTCTCTGCAGCCTATCAGTGGGACTCTCTCTTGATTGGCAGGTCCCCCTGTGAACGTGAGCTGCAACATCTTCATCAACAGCTTTGGCTCCATTGCTGAGACAACCATGGTGAGTCCGTTATTGCATGCGCCGTCTCTGCGGTAGGTGTCTCCGCCCTGGGAAGGTTGCTCCTCCACACTGAGTTTCCCCCAAGAAAGCACAGAATTGGGTGTTTTTGTTGAGTCTCCTGTAGGTTTGAATTGGTTTTTTTTTTTTTGTTCTGTCCAATTCGATGCTTTGGGTTAAAGTTTAACATCTGAAGAAGGTCTAAGCAGCTAACAAAGTTAGTACAGGACAAACCTTCCTAATTATAAGAGCAAAATCATAAAGTGTAATGGGGGAGAATTATGATTAAAGTCCATCATATCTGTGTGTATGGCAATGTCACAATGGAGGCTGTGTATGGTGGAGCATGTCTACAATCCCAGGCTCACGTGGCAAAGGCAAGAGGATCTCTATGAATCTGAGTCTTAGTAGGAGTTCCAGACTACCCACACCCTGTCTCAAAATAGCAGCAACAAAAATTACAAAAAGTATTTTAAAAATTAAGCAACAAGGCTGAGGAGGTGGATTGGTCAGTAAAGAAGACCTGAGTTTAATCCCCCAGAATCTATTTTTTAAAAAAGACCATGTGGCGGCGTGAACTTCTAACCCCAGCACTGGCAAGGGTAAGAGTGGAGACAGAAAGGTCCCTGGGACTGCCTGGCAAGCCAGACTAACCTAAGGGGGAGCCCCAGGTTCCTGCGAAAGACTGTCTCAAGAATAAAATGGATGATACCTAAGGAACAACACCAGGGTAAACTCTGACCTCCACACACACATACGTATACACCCACAAGAACATGCACACACATACACGCAAACACATGTACACATACGCACATGCAAATGCACGCACACATGCACACATGTACACACACATCAAACAACAGGGTAAGTGTCTGGATTAAAAGGTAATATGTTTGGCTGTGGAAGTGCACCCCTGTAATGACAGCAGGCTGTGGTCCTCAAAAAGCTGAAGTAGGAGATAAGGACTTAAAGGCCAGTCTGGGTTATATAATAAGTAAGGCCCAGTCTCAAAAATAAATCAAAAAGTGAAAACCTGCTAATGGCTTTCAAATCTACCCAGAGAATGGAGGAAGACACTGGTTGTAGATACTGAAAGGGTGCACTGGGCCAGCTGGGTTATTTGCTCTCTGTTGAATATGCTTCCAAGATGCTATAGTAAAAGTTTTAAATAAAGCAATTGCTCTGGAGGGCACAAGGCAAAGACGGGTGAGTGTTAATAGTGATCATCTCTGACTCATAGACTTATGGGTAATTTTTTTTTATCTTATTCTGTCAGCATCGCTCCATCTTTCACATCTCTGTGAAAAGTAGATATGACATTAGGAAGTCCAAACGTATGAAACGACAGTTTGAAAATTTCTCTTAATCACTCAAAACAACACATAGACCACTTGTGCTCATAGGGAGGGGGTGATCTAGCTTGTTGAAAAACAAAGCAAAAAGTAGCATGGAGTCAACTTGTGAGCAGAGTAAGATTCAGCTCCCCCCAACATTCAGACACTGCCACCTCATGTCCCTAACACACCACCACGTCCCCAACACACCACCACCTCACGTCCCCAACATACTACCACCTCGTGTCCCCAACACACCGCCACCTCACATCCCCAACACACTGCCACCTCGTGTCCCTAACACACCACCACGTCCCCAACACACTACCACCTTGTGTCCCCAACACACCGCCACCTCGTGACCCCAACACACTGCCATTCACCTCTGTATCTTCTTTGCCAAAGTTTCTTAAATTTTTTTCTACATAGAACCCCTTTGTGCCCAATAAATTTTTTCATGATAAGTATAGAAAATAAACACACAAATTAAGTATTTACTGTTAACCACAGAGAAATTCATCTTAAGATAATTATTTAATATGTATGAAATTTTGCCATTTATTAAAGACAAAAAATATGTTGCTGGGCGGTGGTGGCGCACACCTATAATCCCAGCATTCAGGAGACAGAGGCAGGCGGATCTCTGTGAATTCGAGACCAACCTAGTCTACAAGAGCTAGTTCCAGGACAGGCTCCAAAGCTACAGAGAAACCCTGTCTCAAAAAAAAAAAAAAGACAAAAAATGTTTATACTGAAGCAAAAAATATGTTTAGCTTGCTTTTACACAAGTAAATTAAAATTTTGTATATGTGCCTATGCCTCTTTATGTGGGTGTGCCTGTGTGTGTGTGTGTGTGTGTGTGTGTGTGTGTGTGTGTGCCTGTGTGTGGGGGGGGGGTGGGGGGGTGGGTGGGCACGGTCATGAGTATGCAACTGCAGAGACCAGAAGAGAACACTGGGTATCTTCTTCTATCTTTCTCAACCCTCTCTGCTCTATTGCCTTTCAAGGGTCACTCACTAAACAGGAAGTCTGCCATTTGGGATAGAGGCTGGCTGGCCAGGAAACTCCTGGAATCTTCATACTTTGCCCCTTCAGTGCAAGGGGTGCAAATGTTCATAGTATTGCTTAGCTTTAAAGAAAAGAACAAAGAAAAGAACAGAGTCTTACTGTGTATCTATAACTGACCTGGATGTAGTATGTAGTCCAGGATGGCCTTGAACTCACAGAGATCTGCCCACTTCTGTCTTTGTGTCCTGGGATTAAAGGTGCACGCTACCACACCAGCCTTTCATACTAATCTTTTTTTTAAATGCTGGGCATTCGAACTTAGGTCCTCGTGCTTCCACAGGAATTGGTCTTTCCCAGTCTCCAAAATTTAATCCTGACCAGAGACTTGACACCGTAAGACACAAGACACTGTCAGCATTTTCCAGGGTTGGACATTATTGTAACTGTTCAGAGCCATCAGGGCCAAAAGTCGTCAATATACATCACATCAATGCACAGTACAAAAATAGCAGGTGTGTGTTTAAGACATTTTCAGAAATTGCTAGAAATCCTGCCCTAATCCCAAACGAAAACACATTCAGTTGTTTTTTTTTTTAATGAAACTCAAGTCAGCTGTCTAAGCAGCATTTGCAAACTCAAACCTTCCAACAGAGTGCAACACAAAGACACTGATTTGAAATATGCATGCTCAAAAATAATAAGAAGAAAAACTGTCTTCGTTTTCTACGATTATACCATGACAGCCTGCAGGAGCAGAAAACTTCCTATGTGTGGCTAAAGATACTACTTAATTGGCACTGGGCCTACCTAGCATGTAGAATGCCCTGGATTCGCTCCCCTAGTACCACATACACTGTATGCTAGCCCATGCCTCTAATCCCAGGACCCAGGAGTTGGAGGCAGGAAGATCAGAAGTTCAAGGTCATCCTTGGCTCCAAAGTAAGTTTAAAGCCAGCCAAGCACATCAAGGAGGCCCTCATTTGGAGTCTCAGGTCTCTACTCTGGTACAGTTCCCAGTCACATGTTTTGCTGCACACGGTCTGTCTGTTTGTCCCTCCCAGGACTGTACTAGAAGTATATGGCTGGTTGAATTTTTGTCTTGTTTCCAGAAGTGCCCAACCTCAGCAGTCAGCCCAGCAGTGCAGCTGCAGAAACTCAATCATTCTGTTAAATAAATAAGCCAGAGCAGATGCCCGGCTCCCCGAGTCCAGCTGTTGCTTGGTCCTCAACGTTTACAAACACTGGGCCTATTTCTCCAAACAGGTCCTTGACTTGCAAACTCGCCGAACTCTTTCTTCATGGGGCAAAGGGACCAAAATCTGTCCTTTGGCAAAGAAACTTGTCTTGACATGGTCAAAGTGTGGTGTGCATTCAAAAGACGGCTGAGCTGGGGAGAATCTGACTCAGTGGGTAAAAGTGTTTGCCACACAAACATGAGGATCTGAGTTCAGTCCCCCAAAACCCACGTAAAACGCTGGACATTTTAGCTTACACATCTCAGTGCAGAGGAGGTGGAGACAAGCAGGTCCCTGGAGCTCACTGGCAGCCAGCAGAGCTTACTCAGTGAGCCCTGGTGGTGGGGTGCGGGGTGGGGGGGAGCTGTAGATTGCAAATGAGGAACAATACCTGAGATTAACCTACAACCTCTACATGTGCAGATTAGTTGGTTGAGTAATTAAACAAATCAGGGGCTGGACCGCCTGCTTATGGAAATGAGCAGGCTCTGTAGGAAAGGATCCAATCACATTCACACAGACAAATAAATATCTAGAAAGAAAGAAATGCAAAAAGTGGGAACCCAACCATACACCCCAAGTTCAGGGTACCTAAGGGGAAAACAGTAGACGATGGCCCTGAGAACAGCCTACAGCAGGAGTCCAAGGAAACACCAGTGTTCAGAGCAGAATGAAGGACTGGTAATACATTTCCCTTAGGATGACCCACAGGGCACAGACTTTGCTGACTGTCAAGCAGGATAGAAGCAGGCCCTCTCCAGTGTGCACACTCTACAATACTATGATATGTTTTCATTATCTTCCTAATTAACTAACTAACTAACTAACTATATATATATATATATATACATATATGCACACATACATACATATAACTATATATATATACTCACATATATATATGTGTGTATGTTTGCTTAATTTACTTTGCATATGACAGAAAGAAATCTAAAATCTCAGACCTAGAGATAAATTACAGAACTTTCCCACCATGGTGGTGCACACCTTTAGTCCCAGCACTTGGGAAGCAGGGGCAGGCGAATCTCTGTGAGCTTGACGCTACTTAGGCAAGGTCACACGGCACAAAACAGTGTTCCAGAAACCCAGGCGGAGTTCTGTGCAGTAGCCGAGGCTTCTCTCCCTGGATTTTCTCCTTCCCTTAAACAGCGGTTCTCAACCTTCCTGAAGCTGTGACTCTTTAACACAGTTCCTCATGTTGCGGTGACCCCCAAGCATAAGATTATTTTGTCACTACTCCATAATTGTAATTTTGCTGCTGTTATCTGATACACGGGACATCAGATATGACTCCAAAGGGGTCACTCAACCCACAAGTTGAGCACCGCTGCCTTAGATCCTACCAAACAAATGTCCCCCATGCATGTGTCCTTCTCAGTCTTGTAGGGTTTGTTTGCAGAGTCAG